CTGGTTAATTTCTACTATTGTGTTCGTGGACAAGTACTTAGTGGCAGGTGGCTGTCTTTCGTCCATTGTGTGCGTATATGAGGGTGCGTGTGTGTATACGCATCTGTAGATCAAACCGGTCTCCGAAATTGTTTTGATCCCCGAGAAGTATGCTTCTATTTTTATATCCATGCAAAATCTAATTTCACATAGAGGTGTGAAGTTTATGAATACATGGTTTTCATTAGTTAGAAAATAATTTCACACTGATTCACAAAAATCTTTTCCTCGAAACTGCGGTAGTAGTGAAGGGCGTTATTGTTGTTACTTTCTAAATGGTCCCAAAATAACATGTCTACAACTACATCCGCATGTATTTTGGCTGTATTTGCCCTTGTAATGACTGTTTACCAAACGAACCTTCTGTTGAAATTTGATTGGTTGAAAAATATATATACAATTTTATTACTATACTATGTCTTATCCATGATGTTTTTTGTTTTTGTTTTATTTTCAAGTACGGTGAAAAAGGATGTCATGACTTGTTGATACTTTTCACGATTCCATTTCTTTCGCTTTCTTTTTATTAAATGATTTGACATTGAGTCACAAGGTCCAAGTTTAGAGTTAATCTGATTTTGTTGACCAGGTGTTTCGTTACTGGAAGAGGTTTATTCCAGTGACAGATTTTTCGGCCCCAGACTGGTTCCTCTCTGCGGAGGGCGGGGCTTGTTGACTCAGGTGACGACCAATCCGATATGAGTAGTTGTTTGTAAGCATTGAGATTATTGCTTTTTTTTTTTTTGCGTTTTAGCCTTGACCGCCAAGGGTTAATTTTGTTCAAGATACGAGCCCTAGGACGACTGTCGACCAAGATTAAAGATCTCGTCCTGTTCAAGAGAAACAGGGGAGTTACATTCAGATGTCCAGCGTTCGAGGGATCTTCATCTAGTACCGGCATTCAAGGAGGTAACTTAAGGACATGCAAATGGTAGTCACTATAAGTTTTAACTTAGTATAAGTTGCAATAGACATTATCAAATAAAAGGTCTAAGGGTGATTTACATTGGAGTTATTACATTGTTAAGAAAGATTGAAGTAAAATAAAAAAAAGTCAGTTAGAATTAAATTGAAAATAAAATTAAGACAAACAAAAGTTCACACAGCTTACATATAAAAGACAGGAGAATCCACAGTGACTTCTCCGACCAAAAGTTCTTCGTTTACCGACAACAATACGAGTGATAAAAATCAATGTTCATGGTGTATATCAACCCCCATCCCACTACAGGGTAGCGGAAGAATCGCTAAGGAACTCATTAAAAAAATGGATTTTACAAGTCTTTGGGTCTAGTCACTGGATCTAACCAACGTCTTTATCCAGTAGGCCATGTGTTCTCAAGTATTTGTGAGTTCAATACCACGCCACAGCTGTGGTGAACCAAGACTAAGATAGTTGAGTTAAATGGAAACAACTGAGACATCCGGAAGAGGCATGGCACGTGGAACCAGACCAATCTACCCCGGTGAACGAAATAAAGGGTTCGGTTCGAAATCCCAATCACCTGAAGAAGGCCGGAGTGTATTCTACATAAATATGATAGCGATAACATTAAAGCCGTCGCACATGCTTCGCGTTCGCTACTACCGGCAGAAAAAAAACTACAGCCAGATAATATTTGCAGTGGAAAAAATTCACAAATGTATACACGGAAAGAGTTTTCGGTTACAGACGGTCCAAAGACCTCTATTATCAATTAATTATTTAAAAACAAAAAAGGACGCATACAGTGAATAGATTACAATGCTAGGGTACCATCTTAGTAAATTACGATTTCAGGATGGATTAGCAACCGTCTAAAACATTAGGACATGTTGATGGTTTATCAAGATTGATACCAAAAAATACGGAACCGTTTGAAGACACTGTTATTACAACAATAAAAATAATATAAAAATTAAAAATATATAATGCAATGTAGTACGCGAACTAGCATTTACCCTGAAAGAAATAAAATTAAAAGCAGAACATGTTTATTTCGAAAAATAAAAATAAAAAATGACTAAAAGAAAAGTAAAAAAGATGGTTTTTAGAACGCAATCCAGACTTGAACACTTACTCGCTATGTGACAGAGTACTCATGCTTACACAAAGATTAGTAATACATATTATATTACAAAAGCGGATATTAAATGAATTTCTTAGTGAACATCCTGGAATTTCAAAGGTGAAATCTCTTGAGAAGCAATGTATATTGAACCAAAATGGATCAAGGCATTGAAAATTAGTAAAGATCTAGTAATTAGCAGAGATCTTCCAAAAAAAGTCTATCAAAACACAAAGATCTTGAAGTAGAAATCTCAAAAATGTGGACATCAATAATTCCATTTGCAGCTGGAGACTTCGGATTGATTGGGAAAGATTCCGATGGACTCATTGAATGGATTCCTGGTAGCCCATTCCTTTAAGAAATACAAAAAAAAATGTACTCACTAGTAGAGCCCATACATTACGAAGGGTTTCTTTTCTAGGCAAAATGTTGTGTGATCTTCGGGGTTGTTTTTTTTTTTTTACAATAATGATCGGTGGAAATGTCCTGTGTTCTGATTTTAGGTCTCCGGTTGAGTTCCGGAATGAAATGTGTATAGAACAGAAGTTAAAGGAAGAAGAAATAATAATAATAATAATAATAATAATAATAATAATAATAATAATAATAATAATAATAATTTATTATTTTTTTTAATCAGATATGTTGAATTTCCACGAATAAATTTGAAAATACTTTAAATGCTAAGGGAGATAACTCAAACTGAAAATGTCTGAGTTACTTCCCTTGAACCACTGATAACGACTATAATTGTAGAGCAGATTTTATATTTTTTTACGAAAACTCGGGCAACGATTGAGAAGTAAGGAGATTATTTTGAACACCAGATTTAAAACAATGAAAGTTTTGCGTCCATTTTGCTATAATTTTTGTGCTTCTATTATTAAATTTGTTTTTTTTTTACCTATCTTCGTACAATGAAATTTAAATGTTTGAGTTTGCGTGTTGGTGTATATTGTTAAGTGTGTGTATTTGTAGGATGTATATAATCCGAAACAAAAATGAAGATGATGAGACAAAATGGAAATTTATAAACGATGCGTTTCGCAAAAGTATCAGCTTTCTTTGGCTTCCTCGAGTTAGAATGAAAGAAAGACAAAGTCACAAAACTGTATGTGAGGGAAAATGCCTTGGGATCTCTGAGAATAAGTAATAATCAAAATCTAAAATCACTTTCAATGTCCAGAACTCAATAGAATTTCTGTCCGCCTATTTGTTTGTTTTATATCGGAGGCGTTTGGTGTGACACTCTCTAGTTTCAGAGGACTGATGTGTAAAATTCAATCATATCAAACGCATCTGATATAAATAAAACAAACAAATTATTTATTTCATGGGTGAAGGTTTTGGAAGACACTTGGGAGCATTATGTGATGGAAATTAGAGTTCAGTCGACAGTCGACCGGGGTAAAAAAAAAAAAAAAAAGGAGACGTTACTAAGCAGGGCCTTTTTCTTTTGTCTCACGTTGCGCTACATCTTGGAGCAAGAGGAAGGATATTTCCGGTTCCTTTACATTTTCCCATGATGCTAGTCATCATGGGAAAATGTATTCCTATTTTATTTATTATTATTCTTTTAATCTTTTATCTATTGATTGTGATAAGACAACGGGATTACCTCCCCTGTCTTATGATTTGTATAAATAAGACACGCCGTCTTAGCCAAAACGGCAAGACTTTTCAGTGACGTTCAATAAAGGCACATTAAGCCGAACTAGACTCCGAATTTTCCTTACACAGATTTTATTTCATTTTCCCACAATACTATGGTTGTAAAAGGAAACTATGTTGATGTCTAGATTTGGAATTCTGAGGGTTTTTTTATGTTCTTAAGTTTTGTGTGTAAAATCTTAATCAGTTGCAACGAAACACGAAAAATCATGTGTTTACCGATTCTCTTATATTTCCAAATTGAAAAGCAGTCATTAGCGAGCTTATTCTGACAGGCTGGAATGGTGAGTTCAATTCACATTGTAATTTTCTCTGTCTTGTCTTCAGGTGCTCAACTACACAGCGACCCTACGACCACACCTGACCATGAGACTGTCATATAATAATTGAGTTTTTCTCCCCCTCCTTCGATAATTAGAATGACAGCACCACATAAACAATGGCCTATTTCATTTTGATTACGTGAGAAAACAAAAGATATCAGATACGCCAATTTGTTTTAGTAAAAAAAGAAAGAAAAATAGATGTGTCTAACTCTAACGTCTCCTTCCAATACCGCATAAATAGTGGACTATTCCGTTTTGATCGCATGAGAAGACAAACGACTTATCAAAGACGCTAAGAAAATGAAAGAAAAAAAGGGAAGATAGAAGTGTTTAACGTCTGTTTCAGTGAAATGGAAAAAGCTGTTAATTTCAAATCTTTCAATTTTTACCTATTTACTTCTTAAAATAACAACCAGTATCCATATTTATGATTGTTATTGCAATATTCTGTTAAAGTTTTTAAGCTCAAATATTTAACGATGCAATACGCGAATTTCTAGGAATATTTTATTGTTGTAAAACTCGCCATAATTAAAATTCAACAGAAAATTCAAATAGGAAAACCGAGGAATTTTCAGTTCTTTCTAGTATGGGTTAATCTCAATGAAATATTTTACCCTAAAAATTCCTTACCAAATTATAATTGTGTGTTATTTTCCAGTGCATATTATATAGCTAACATAATACTCTTAGGAAGGCACGGATCCAGTTCTCCATGTGCTATGTCACATCAATAATTATCATCAATTTAAACAAATATCTTTCTTAATGACTTATCAAAATAGTTGATGAGGAATGTAGATAAGTCAGCAAACCATTCTCCAATAACTACCTTATTTTCTCAGTCAGTAGCAGCAAAAAAAGCTTCCCCAACCCCTAGGCAACTTTGATCAAGCTAAATGCAAAAGTTTACTTTCCTTGAAGTCTGATGCACGCATCAGGACGTACACTTTACTATATCCGTTTTTCAGTACAAGGAAATGCATTAAGAGAGACAGACACCGGTTACTGACACTTGTGACGAGGGGAGATAACTTGATAGAAAACCATGGAAGAGAAAATAAGGAAGATTAAAATAAGGATGGGGATAGCCTAGAACTGGTTGAAAGGCACGTCCACTTTTTCGCGGGAAAACGGCATAGCGTAATGAAAAATGCCACAAACTTAACGAAAATCAAGTTTTATCGTCAAAATGCTTATGTTATTATTAAGATGAAAGACCAAAGTATTTTTAATTATTTTTTGAAATTTTTTGATATTTTCTAACACGTTCGAAATTTTGGTTAAAGTCTTCTTTTGTTTACGTCATCGCGGTACTGTAAAAATAACATTGTTTTTTTGCGCTTTTTTCCATTGAAAACACATTGATTTGGAAATTCTTGTAAAAATCAAGTAATTGTCCGATTTTAATGAAATTTTCAGGACTTATTCACAAATGAATGAAATTATTTTTGAAATATTTTTTCTAGAAAATTTTGATAAAAAAATATTTTTTTTTTAAATATGTTACACCCACTTACTTATTTTCTTGAAATTTCGTTCAAAACCTTTTATTTCCTGACAATTTTTTTTGTTTAAAAAGTAAGAGTCATTAGAAATGGTAAATCACCTACTTTTTTTTCAAATTTGCGCTAACTAAAAATCTGCTCTGATTCGAAAAATAATGAATCAATAAATCTATGATATTACTTAATTAGAAAAGCTTTTAATTGCTTTTGTAAATAAGTAATATTAAGATTATTGCCTGAAGAAATAAATTTTTTCTGATGAATAATTAAATTTTACAAGAATTTTTTCATTTGTTTTACATTTTAATTATAATAATTTATAATAGTTTAAAAATCGTGCAAAATTCTGTATTAGGCTATTTCCTTGTGATAATTAGTAATTAATTAGAAACAAAATTTACGAGTTCAAAATTGCAAAGTTTAATAAACTTAGTGGTGCTAATTTTTTTTCAAATAATTTTTTATGTTGTATTTTTTAATTAAAACGTTCCGTATTTCCATGTACAGTAGACTGAAATTGCCATTATTATAAAAAGAGTTTTGTCCCTTTCAGTAAAACTATAAAAAAAAGCGTTCACTCAGATTTCTAATAATTTTCATTTATGGTCATCCGTAGTAGCTGTCATCACTCGTCAATCAACACGTAGATCAAGTATTGGATAAAAATAACAGTACCAATCGTTAATAATTGGTTGTATATTACTTTTTATACTAGAAGTAAGTAATATTTCTTTTAAATCAGATTAATTCAACATTAAATTTTCTAATTTTACTAAAATAACGTATCAGAAACTTTTTTAAATATTTTTAAAATCGATAAATTTGTGTTTGTTTACAAATTTCTTAAAATTAAGAAAATGGCGGGAATTACGAAAATTTAAAATTCCAAAATGAAATTTGACATTCCAATGTATATAGTTTCTATCTGAAATACACCAGAATTGTTTCCTTAATGGAAATAATAAATTTAATGATTAAACTTTCAATTAAAGCTAAAATGAAATCTTCAAGCATGTTTTTTTCATTTTTAAAAATTTATTTTAAAGTTAGGTATCGGAAATTTTGCCGAAAAAAGTGGAGGTCCCCACGAAGTGATGCTAAAATAAACCATAAATAAAAAGGTTTTGTTCAATCTGGAATTTGTAAGTATTTGTTTTGGCACTCGTTTTTATGACATAGTTGCCTCCCCTTAATATAATGTTTCCGTCTCCATGGTTTCAGTTATTCTCTATTACAGAGAGAAAAAATCTTCACCGATTTCACGAAATAATAGTTCCATTGCACAAGATTTCAAATTCTAGCAATCCAAATTAGCCATCGAGAATCTGTAAAGCTCTTTCGTTAAGTGAAAAAGTGAAAGTTATAGACATTAAGTAAAGAACAAATTATAATATTGCTCTTGCATCCACAACAATAAATAATACTTGAAAACAAGGCAAAACATGTATGCAATTCAAACAAATGTATTTATATACAATACAATTATTATATACAAAATATTTTACAAGATATTATTGTGTTGGTATGTTTGTCGGTGAATGAAGATTTTTTTTTTTTTTTGGTGTCTTGGTGTATTTGTATTACAGTCGTAATTAGTGTTTAAATACCGTTATTATGTTTTTTTAGAATTGAGTCATTCAGAAGTAGTCTACCCTTAACTGTAAGTATGAAATATGTTCAATAATAGTATTTACTTAAATTGTAGTGAGTGTTAATAATTCACTTTGGATAAGTAAAGTCTTGCGAGTTGAAGTTCTTTGTATTCACAGAATAATCTTCGAGTCGAGTTTGTGGATGAGTCAGTTGTGGTTTTGTTTGCGTGGGAAAATTATAATCGCAAGTTACGTGGATTAGATTAGCGCTTCTCTGTGTTTGCTGGACTGACTGATTTATCGTAGATGATCAAAGAGAATACATAGTTTGAGATTCTAGAATGACAAAGTTCGTAGAAGATATTGAACGGGAAAGATCTGTCGTCTTGATTCGTGAGACAGGAATAGTAATCGTCACATTTTTAAGATTGAGTGGGCGGTCAAAAAAATGGTCTGATGCTGATCCGCCCAGGTCTGCATCTGCCTGTCACACGTGTTTTGGGTTCTTTTTAAGAGGTCATGATCACGTGGGTGGATCCAAAATGATTTTGCGCCAAAACTTCAAAGTGCACGTGCAGGTGACCTGATTGGTAGAAATGAACCCATCAGAGGTCTAGATTTACGAATGAAAATTGGAATAGTGCATTACTCAAAGAAGGTAAGATTGGGCTAATAGACGAGCCCAATACACCTAACCAGATCTCCAGTAAAAACAAATCTTCTATCATATGACTTTGATTAAAGTATATTGTTATAATTGTTCTATTTTATTATTAGTTATTATAGTTGTTATTCTCTTATTATTCCAAATAAGATCTATGGTATGAACAAGTTTTCTCTCTTGTCACCTAACTTTTAGTACAGTATATTATTATAATTGTTCCATTTTATTATTAGTTACTGTTCCTAATCTCTTATTGCATTTACTTTATTGTTTCAAAACCTTAACAAAATTTTAGAAGTTAAGCAAACAGGTTCCTCATAATTAAACACTACTTCAAACTAGACCTCTATTTGATTCACTCTACATCAAAACCTGTCATCCAAATGTGCACACTAAGAAATCAAAACTAAAAATAAAAAATCACTCTCTGCACAGAGGCTTCAAACATCACATCCAGCTCACTAAACAAATCCCCTAAAAAAAAATAAAATAAAATAAATATAAAAGAAGCCAATCATGAATGTTGCCATCAAAGCAAAAACACAAAAATAATGAGTCATGACCCACCCTATCTGCTTTAGATAGTCACGACAAATGGGCAAGCTGTCAATGTAATAACCAGTGACCTTGGTCAACTGACACATGCATTAACTTCAGGACCAACCAACTCAACCATCCCTCCAATTTATATTCCACCTTGATCCTCTATATCAACAATACAAAAAATAACAATTCTTGTCTTCTTTTCTTTTTGCCTCACCCGCTGTACTTGTTGTTTCATTTGTTCTCTAACGCTATCATATGCGTGTTTATAACATCACGAACTTCTGGAAAAGAATATCAGTTCACATTTAAACATTTGTCTGTCTTGTGTGACGCAAAAAAAAAACAAAAATCATTTTTGGAATGATTTTCACTGTTAATGAAAAACAGCTCAAATCCAAGAGTCAAAAAGAAAGTTGTAGCTAAATCCAGGATAATGCTCAACATCTTCTATATTGTAACTTTAATGAAATTACTTAGGGAGAAAAAATGCTCTTTTCTGTTTGATGGAATTCAAAGGGAATGATTTATTATGAAACCTGTATTAACTGCTAATGCCTAATGATATAGTGAGCAACTGGCTAGTTTGAATTACACATTGGGATAAAGAGAAAACATTTTGCTGGACAAGGAAGATGAGTGGTGGTATTACTGCATCCTATTTGCCCACAAGTTGCAAATGCTGTACAGAAAATAATTGTGAATTTGGAAGGGGGAGTTCTTTCATGTACCATGCATTTTCCAAACCTGTCACCATCAAACCTGCTTCACTCCATGCAACAAACCTTATTTGATGAATGATTCCAATAAATTCAAGGTACCAAGAAATTCCTCAATATCAAATTGAAATTGGAAGAATTCTTTGATGATAGAATACAGAAATTACATAAAAGATGGCATAAAATTCATTGAAATCCAGACAAAATAATTTGATGACTAAATAATGATACTGAAAATTTCTCTGAATATAAGAATTTGCTTGAAAAAGGCTGGAATCTTTTAAAAGAGGCTCATGTCAAGGAATCCAGATTAGTTGAAAGGTTGTTTAAGTTCACAGAAATCCATGGAAAATTCTTTGATTGAATAACGCCATGAATTTATATATATCAAATTTTTAAAAAGACAACTTTTACATCAAAGTATAAATCAAGTTTATTCACTTTAATTGTCAATAACAGCTCAGTCAGTTGATTGCATATGTGTTATATAGTGAAATGGATTCACATATTTTTGGTTGCCTAATGAAAGGGAATCCTCTATTTCCAGTGTTTTGTAAGCCTTGGGATCTTTATCAACCTACTCTTATTAACTGTTCCCTGTGTAAATAAAGGTTTGCAATAGAGATATCCAGTTACATGTCTTACTTTTCAATTCAAAGACATTAGTAAAATACATAATTATAAAAACATCCTCGAGCATATAAGATACCAAAAAATATTAATATTCATTGGGTGTCAATAAATGTTAGCTTGGTTAAAATTAAGCATAAAGTAAAAGCAAATATTTCAAATGGAAACATGTTTTGTTAAATGATATCTTGACACAAGTGTTTAAATGATGCCTTGTCACAAGTGTACACATGATGGTTTTTATCAAGTGTTTAAATGATGCCTTGTCACAAGGGTTTAAATGATGCCTTGTTAACAAATGTTTAAATGATGCTTTGTCACAAGTGTTCACATGATGGTTTGTATCAAGTGTTTAAATGAAGCCTTGTCACAAGTATT